TACAGATTAAAACTCGGATTTAGTCGGAAATCGCCGCCGACGAGTTTTCCGATGGCTTACGACATCATGAATCCGCCGCGATATCCAAACACAACTCAAGGAAACGGGATCTACACTTTCCCGTTTAACGTAACCGTCGACGTGATTCTCCAAAACGCAAACGTTTTAGATGGAAACGTTAGCGAGATCCATCCGTGGCATCTTCACGGTCACGATTTCTGGGTTTTGGGTTACGGTGGAGGGAAATTCCGGCCCGGAGTCGACGAGAAGACGTATAATCTGAAGAATCCGCCGTTACGGAACACGGTGGTTGTGTATCCGTACGGATGGACGGCGTTAAGATTCGTAACGAATAATCCTGGGGTTTGGTTTTTTCATTGCCACATCGAACCGCATTTGCACATGGGTATGGGTGTGGTTTTCGCTGAGGGAGTTAACCGGATTGGTAAGATACCTGATGAGGCGCTTGGTTGCGGTTTAACCAAACAATTTCTCATTAACCGAAACCGACATTGATAGTATGTATTGAGGTGTGGCGGCATTTGAGTCGGTTTTTGTTTTGGTTGTGTTCTGTGTTGTAAACCGAAGATTGGCTCGTGTTATTGGTATAGTTGGTTAGTCGGTTATAGTTATTACTATGATCTGGTTTGGTTCAACACGTCATTTTCTGAATCATTTAACTAAATTTTATGGAAACAAATGAACAACACCTAATAGAGGCTTTTTACATGTGAGGAGGCATGGCTTGGGCTTTGTTAAGAACTTGAGACATTCAAAGATAGAAACGGTTTGAGTAGTTATTTGATCTTTACGTTGTTTACATAAAACATGAGTAAAGTTTACTCGTTACAATGTGGACACATAACTAGTATACAATTTCGATATACCTCACAATTTACAGATCAAAATCACCATGCGTCACCGTTCGATGATCACCATTTTCTGTCAAATTGTTCGTTAGTCTCACAAATCATAAATTTGTAGTTATAGTTAAAACTTATATGGTAAACAAAGAACAAGTAAATTTTGAAACCAACATATGTAATCAAAAAGATTAGAGTAACGTCAAAAGGATACAAATGGTTATGAATCTTCACCGGTTTGAATAGTGAATGGAAATCTAACTACAGTATGATTTGATTTAGTAAATTATAATATTTAAAGATAAAAGAAAGCTTTATATATGAATTCATGAACATTCATCATGATTCGAACTTGAATCCTTTTGGTGTCCAATCGCAACACATGGGGACTAAGGCATAGGCCAAAGCTCAAGCAGGGAGGTTAAAAAAACAATTCACGGGCGGTCGTTAGTTCGTTAAGGTGGACGATAGATGGTTGCATATTTAGCATAACTATATCAATAAACATTACTTAGTTTAATAGTACTATAGGAGTATATTATAATCATACATTCATAACTATAGAAAACGACGAGAGTTCCAAATAATTGTGGAGTAGCCGACAAAAAAATCCCGGAAGACACGTTTCGGACAGTAACTGCTGGCGACTAAACGTGCCTGCGTGGCACTTTTGTACTTTCCTATTGGTTCGATTCATTGCACCTA